TTCATCCCAGTGCAGTGAAGACAAAGATAAAACCAATCTACAGCTTCTACAATAGCCATCACTGAACTGCTTGCAGAACTTGCCTGGACTATGTATCACTTGTATGCATTGTGAACTCACCTGTATGCATTGTGAACTATCTGTTGGTGCAGTGACTTGTGGTAGTGTTGGGGTATTTTTTTCTGATGATGTCATCGGTGGTACAATTTTTCCAAAAGGAACCATTATATCTTCTTCCCTTCTGCTTGTCATGATCATTCAGCTAATATTTGAGGGCCAACAGAGGTGAGGCAAAGAACCTCACCCCCTTGCTGGTACAAAGACCTATCCACAGGTGTGGCTGTATAGTGGACCGGTAGTCAGTGATGGGTAAGATCCAATTACAATGGTACCAACCTAAGACAGGATGCTGACGCCCTGAGGTCAGCTCATCTGATAACAGGTAAGGACCATATGTAGAATTGGACAACCTAAGGCAGGCACAGTCTCTAAGCCACATGCTTGTTGTTTAAACAGAGAGGGGGAGATGTTGAGAGCCACAGCCGAAGGGGCCCCAGCAAACTTTCAGACTGCCAGCTGATGATTGGCTCACAGTGGCCCTAGCAACTTCTAGCTGATTGGCTTCTCTGGGGTGATGCTCATTGGGCTGTTTCCCTGCCCTTTCAGACCATGGAGCTGCTGATTGGGGACTTTTTAGCTCCGCCTACACAACCCAGTCAATCAGCCTCAAGAGCAGGAGAAGTAGGGGAGGTGGAGAGGCTGTGAGAAGCTGGTGGTGGCAGTTGGGCTCTGAGGGTTTTTCCTTAGGAGCTGTTTTGTTTGGCGTGTGTGGTTCTAAAAATAAAGTTCGTTTCTTTTGACAAGTGCCTCCTGAATTGTGCCCAGCCAGACTGCGGCAGTTGCAGAACCAAGATCAATACTCAAAAATCAATACTATTTCTAGAATAAAGGTTACCAGAGCCTAGAAAGGGTATGGGAAGTGGGAAATAGAGAATGGATGGTTAACAGGTATAGGGTTCCAGGAGAGGAGGTAGATTTTCTAATGTTCTATAGAGATAACTATGGCTAACAAGAATTAATTGTTTCAGAATAGTTAATAAAGAAGATTTGGAATATTCCCAGCTCAAAGAAATGATAAATGTTTAAAGTGATAGAAATGTCAATTACCTTGGTCTGATAATTAAACATTATATACACGTATTGAAGTATCCCACTAACACATAAATATGTACAACTACTATGTGCCAATTAATATATATGTTAAAAACATATATATATATATATGTATATATATATATACACACATATATTTCTGTATACTAGGAATGAACAATTGAATATTAACATTTTTAAAATTATTATTTATAATAGTACCAAAATCATGAAATATTTAAGTTTAAATCAAAAGTTCAAAGTATGAGAAAAGAATAAGATGGACGCATCAACATTATAGAATTTTGCTCTTCAAAATACATTTTTAATAGCATGAAACACAATTTAGAAAGTCAGAACTTAAAACCAGCTTCTCTTCATACTGATAGGAATACTCTCCAATCAACCAAGTTCTGTTAAAAAGCAAACTTGCCAGAAAAAAACAAACAACAACAAACACAACTTTTAAATCTCAGAATAGAGAAAGACAGAATCTATTCTCTACAACCCAGGTTGTCATAACAGATTGATAGATCAGACTTCATTTTTTTTGCATGGCAAATACAAAAAGCAAAAAACAATAGGAAAAATAATAGAACAAATGACCAAAAGAAAGAATTTGGCAAGTCTCACCATAGAGAGCTAATTCCTCTGTATATATAAAGAACTTCTATAATTAAATAAGAAAAAGATAGACAGTGCAACAGGAAAACAGACAAAACAAAAGGTACAAACAATTCCCAGGAATGGAAATAAAAATTATCTTGAACAAAGGCACTCAATTACATAATTAATTACTAAAATATAATAATTACAAAATAAAATTAGTCTTTTCTATGCTGGCACTACAGTTTTAATTAGTATAGCAAAAATTTCCTCCCTAATTATTATAATTTAGCTATTCTTTTATGAGCAGGTGATAAAAGGACTTATAAGATTTTTAATGTATGATAAATTTCATATTTTATTCCAGTAAAGAAAAGACAACTTATAATAAATGGGGTTGGGATCACTGTTAGTCATTTGGGAAAAGCCGATGTAGAATTCTGCCTGACTGAAACCATCTCGGATTGGGCCCCACCTTACCATCAGCCCAGTGTGATTTTTTTTTAAAGAAAGAGTGAGAGAGGAGAGAGAGAGAGAATTTTTAATATTTATTTTTTTTAGTTCTCGGCAGACACAACATCTTTGTTGGTATGTGGTGCTGAGGAT